GATGTATTTATGCATATTTTTGTATCTCTCCAACTTTCAACTAATATTTTTGGTTTACTGTCCTATAGTATACATTGGAATGATTTCAAACCTGTTTTTATTTATCCTAATAATTATAAAGGTGTGCCTTGGACATATTTGTTTACATAAATTGCGATCAAAACGTTTGAGACTCACTGAGATAATTTAGACTAAAGTGAACTACCCAAACCCTCAGAGTCCTTTACCTCACTGAGCCTCTCAGTCTGACGGGACAGAACTCTCCCTCCACATTATTGTAGAAACAGCTTCTTATATCCGTTAGCGCAGCAGAAGCTAACAACAATCCCCGCCAGTACCGGTGCACCCCCTCTCTCTACCTCTCTCACTTTGACTGTGAGCTGCGGGCGCCTGATAAGCCAACATCCCCCACTTTCATCACTTACAGTGCCCATCGTACGGGGCAAATGGAAAATGTAAACGGGGTGAAAAGGGTGTTATCTTTACTTAATTATGAATGTTGTTACATCCAGGCTGAAAATTCATTTTTTTTGTATTATATTTGTATTTAATCTTGTGGAAGTGCAGATCCCCTGCCCTCCACCAGGGGGTGCTGCAGCACCCTCAGCACCCCTACTTCCCACGGCCCTGGGCCAGCCTAAGGCACACCTGTGCAATAATCATGCTGTCTAATCAGCATCTTGATATCCCACACCTGTGAGGTGGGATGGATTATCTCGGCAAAGGAGAAGTGCTCACTTTCACAGATTTTTTCAGATTTGTGATCAATATTTGGGAGAAATGGTTATTTTGTGTATATAGAAAATGTTTTAGATCTTTGAGTTCATCTCATGAAAAATGGGAGCAAAAACAAAAGTGTTGCGTTTATATTTTTGTTCAGTGTAGATATTACAAAAAATAATTCAATGTCAACCTTTTGGTAGAGCCATACAATACACCAGCGGATCACCAATGTCTGTTGGATTTACCTAGAATTGTCAACTTACTGCTGGCACTGGATAAAAGATCAGGAGGTGACTATGATATAGAATACCTTGTCTAGGGGCCAGGCACCAAAACATGTTTTTATGTAAATCCACCAAATATTCTTTGAGGTATTTCATCCTGGACAATAGTTGTGGCAGATCCAACCTTGACATTCCTAGAGCCATGTCACCTCTGAGGTGATTAAACACAAACATTTGTTCACCAACTGCCAACAACTACATCAACTGCCAGGAGAGAATCCGCAATTAGAAGGAGTCTGAGCCAATATCAAAGCATATGGATTTGGTTAAAGGGGTTCTAAAATATTTACTGGCCGTTTTGCGGGGGGCTTTTTTTATATTTTGTTATAAATTTACTGGGCTAGAGTGCTGACACTACATTCTGAAAGTGATCATTATGAGATATTACACTGATAGCCTTGGATTGTTTTTCATCATCAGAAAATGTTTTCCTCCTCTCCTCTAATGATGATCATAATTAGTCAGTTATCTGTATTCCTCTGTGTGATAATAAACTCCAGTGAACTAATTAAAAGTGATGACTAAGGGCATCATTAATTATTTAAAGACTGCTTTGTTGATGGTGTCGGAAAATATTTCCTATTGTATAATTTTTTTATATATGAACCAAAAGTATTGTTTACACACATAACAACTGCACTGTTGGCAAATATAACATGACAATTTGAATACGTTACACATTTGTATACAGCTATAATAAAATATATAAATGACCCATTGACAGTTAAAAAATATAGTTTAACCCTATATTTCATGCAAACATAACATAACAATCCGTATTCAGAATGAGTAAATGCATGAAGGTGTATTGCTCTAAATAAGTAGTAATAATTTAAGGCCTGATTACTCTTACTATTTAATGTGAACTGTTCTCAATCATATCTCACATCGTGCAACAACATATTTGGAATCACGTACTGTTGTTGTATAGAAATGCATAGGTGCAATAAGTATGACATACCACATTGAGTTATATAAAGACACTCAAATAATAAATTAAAGTAAATGAATGTTGAATTATGATTTATTTGCATGTCATCTTCTTTAAACCAACTGTAATTATTTATGTGATGTCATTCTTTGAAAGAGAGACAACCACCCTCAATTAACCTCTTCCATTCATAACAAAAAAAAGTATAACCTAGGGGGCAGTTTTGGAACGTACCTTAGTACATTTACTCAAGTATTATACTTATGCACTTTTTTTAACATATTTGTACTTAAAGGTCCCAGTTCATGCTTTTCCGGTTATTACCCGTCCCCTTGTGTGTTATGTAGCTTTGTATGCATATAAACGGTATGCAAAGTCACAAACCCTCAAAGTACACCCTGTACCGAGTAAAACTCTAAAACAGAAAAGACCTGTCTATGCTGCCCCAGAACGCCTTGTTGGATATTTTTCTTGCTAGTGGAGCCTCGCAGCACATATTTTACACTTATTTGTGTTGATTGTGTAGGATCATATTGAGTTGAATATTACATGCAAATGTATCATTGTAAAACAAAACTACCTTCTGCTTTAGTTATTGGTCCTTTAACAACATCAAAAAGATCTTAATTTAACATTTTATTTCAGTCAGTGAGATTTTATGGTGATTTATATATTTTTCGATAGTCACATAAAGGGAATTTTGGAAAGGGGTCTGCAGGGGGGAGGTTGGGGTAATGTTTTATTTAAATGGTTATGTAGGTAGTCAACTAAGATACCTAAAGCACCAGAGACATACATGTTGGTTAACATTTGGAATAAGATCATTGTCTATTAAACTTGATCAAATTGACAGTCAAATTGACCCCAGAAGATAAAGGTTGTAAAGTAAATCGGAGGGTTAACACAGGAGTTACCAGTTTATTTGTACATACACAAACACCTGATATGCTGATATGGTATAATGCTACTAATAATCTACACAGAATCTAGATGTACATTTGGTCCACATTGACAAACCACAATACTAACATACTCTTAAATGTATACAAATTGGATAAAATAATAACCATAATAATAAAATACTGTGTAAAGATAGATTCTGCGTTACAAGTACTTTTGATACTCCAAGTAGTTTAAGAAAATACTTGATATTATTCTGAAATGATCATTTAACTTTTGGCACTTTAAGTACATCTTGATGCTAGACTACTACAATTTGTACTTTAACTTAAGTACACTTTTGAATTCAGGACGTTTATCTGTAGTGGATTATTTGTATAGCATAGTATTTGTACTTTTACGTGTAATGTCTGAGTACTTCTTCCAACACTGCCTGTTGGTGATATGTTGAAAGATTAAGAGGACATTTGGTGACTGCATTTACAGCTGAGCACAAATTAATGTTGCCGTTTCACCGCGTGAGGGAAGCAGTGTGCACTGCAGGCAGTGACGTCTCACTGCCGGGGAATCTTTGCTCGGTGACACGAACATTTATTGAAGCGGACCAACATGGCCGCACTGCGGAGGATAACAGCCTGCTTCCGTCTACTCAGGTACGATATGTTTTGCAGTTAAATGTATTTGTATAGGTAAAGTTTCTAGATCAATGGCCACACAATGTCCTAAACTACCCGCCTCTTAAAAATAAAATACTGTTGTCGACGATTAAAGTGGGAAAATGAAAATGTTTTGCCTCTGAAAGTGATAGCAACAACAACCGGAAGTTGTTATAATACACGTTAAACTTGTTTTTCCTTGTCCAAAACCGCATTATATTACACTCAGTAAAGAAGAGTAAAGGGCTAATTAAAACTAGGTTCAGTATTGATTCCCCAAACGTCTTATTTCATCTTTAGGGGTCCTCATTCTTTTCAGTCCTTTGTATGTAGGCTACTGACAATATAAGATCGTAACTTGACATTGCTTAACAGTTATGTTAAAATCATATATTTAACCCTAGGCCTAACTGGCTGATTTGAGATGAAACTGTTTTATTATTTATCTAGGAGTTCAACTCGTGTCCTCATCAGTAGCGGCAAACCTGCGGGGAAATGGACAAACATTCTGTACACAGGTATATCGTCACTAACTGTGGGCGGTGCGCTGTGTGCTATACCTTTCAAACAGGTGAGTAATCTTACCAGAGATATGCGCATACAAACAACACAGCAGCCATCTACAATATGTAAATAAGTGTACATTTACCTTGTGTGTTACTCTGTGTGTCTCTGTTCCAGGCTGACAACCTCTCTCGTGACTCTCTGGTCAGACGAGCAGCCTCTCTGGTTACAGACAGTTCAAGCACCTTTCTCTCTCAGACCACTTTAGCTCTTATTGATGCCATCACAGAGTACTCTAAAGTAAGTTTTCATCTTTTCTGAGATATTTCTCATATTTGCAAGGATTGTGTTTAATCTTCTGGTCTATTGGATACTTTTTCATTATAATATTCCACTCGTCTTTAATGGCTGGTAGTGGTAGGATAAAAAGGCCTTGGTTAACTAACGAGAACCTTTTGAATAACTAGTGTTTAATAAGTGCACAAGAAAATCAGCAACCGGTCAGACTCAATAGAAATGTTGACAGTGTTTTCTGTAATAACTTAGATTGTCAGAAGGGTTGACTAAAGTCCATGTGTTAACAAAATAGTTTACCTAGAGAGGTGCTAGTAAGATAGCCAGCTAGCTAATGTCAGCTATGCATCTAACAAGTTAGCTAGCCATCTAACAAGCTATTGCCAAATTAGTTGATCTTATAATTTAAATTATAATAATTAATGACTTGCATCTACCCTTCTAGCTGTGAGTGATTACAAAAACATTGTTGACATGTGCTTTCAATATGCCAGCCAATCTCACAGAGCCAGCAGCTCTGGCCCTCCAAACATCCACCCACATTTCCAATTATGTGTTTTTTGGGTAATACTAATTAATCTAAGTAAGTAATCTGAATGGTTACTTTTTAGCAATTTAAAAAAAAAAACTAAACGACAATTTATTTGAAAAACAAAGGCTGCCTTAGCTAATGACGCCAAGCAAAGTAATAGCACATACGCTCTAAGTGGAAATATGACCACAAGGTTATGAAGCATGGAACTAGCCCTTGTTCAAAGCGACAAAAAGGTGAAGATCCTCTATCCTCATACCTTTAATTGTGTTAAGGGAAACATTTGCAGTTTTTTCACGACCACTTCCATTTGATGTAGTATGTAGAGACAAATCAGTGGCAATGTCGAGAGATCTGTATACAAACTGTGATTTGTTAAGTACGCTTTCCCCGAAATAGTTTAGAAAAGCCAATGCTGGCACTTCAGGTTTATTTTTAAGTTCAAGATACCTGTGACTTCTGCTGCCACTCCCAACACAACAGAGGTCAATTTCCTTTATTTGTGGCAATCAACCATCAAAATATATTGTGCTATTTTTATGGATTTAATTAAGTTAGTTTAAATCTACTTGACTGTGCTAGTCTGCCTCCTGAAATAGATTTTAAATGTTAAAGGTTTTTGTCCTCCCTCTGTTTTCCAACAGACTGTGCACACACTCATTTCCCTCCAAAGGCGATATTTGGAAGCGCTGGGAAGACTATCTCAAGTAGAAGAGGATAAAATCTGGCAGGTGATCATTGCCCAGCGTTCTGAGGTGAGTTTTTGTTGTCTCCTTGCGTGAAAGGTACTTGAAAACAAAACTGAGCATAGCATTCAGTTTTTCTGTGGATTTAACGATTGCTGCCCCATAAATATGACAGCACACTTACAAACCGTATTAAAACAAACATTTGCAGATCTGTTGAAGACAACCTTATAACTCTCTCCGTTCTGACAGGTTGAGGACAGACAAGATGAATGCAAACGTTTTGAGTCCACCTGGTTCATCGCAGTCAAGCTGTGTGAAACGGCGGCTGAGGCAGCACGCACATCAGGTGTGTAAAATACATGTCGGTGTGTGGTTATAATGCCATGAGAGAGAAAGGTTGTGATGTCATGGTTGAAGTGTTGAGGCAGGTTTTTCTCAGGGTTCTTGTAACTGTGAATACATGCTAAGCTGTGAATCGTCTTTTCAAAGCTTTGTTTCGCTGTGTGCCTGTTCCTTTTCACCTGCTGTCAGTGTTGCACTTTGGACAGTTTATGGATCATTTGCTGTCCCTCAGTAGCGCTTTGTGTGAAACAAAAAGGAAGTGATGGATAGGAGTGTCTTTTTAATCACTACCCATGTCTGAACTCAAGCTGGTGTTATATCAACCTTTGAAATTTTTTTTTATCAACAACTTGACAGTGTCTGTTTGCATCTGTGTGTCCAGGAGCTGAACATGCGTCCATCACGGTGTCGACGAACATTCAGGTGGCCCTGACGCAGGTGGAGGAGGCACAGAAACTGTCAAAGGATGCCGATAAAAAGTTGATCGAGATTAAAGTAATGGAGGTTGAAAGGATGGCGCAACATGCTGCTTCCTTACAGAATGATAGTGATGAGGAAGAGGTGCCTGACGCTTATCTAAGAGAAGATTGAAACAAATACTGGGAGGTATCAGAAAACAGAGGAAAGCATTAAAAAAGTGTGATATGCTTTCAAAGTAAATTTACTTTTTATCACTCTTATAATGTTTGTCTCTTTTTGAGTCTTTAATGTTTGGCTGTAACTACTCATGTGGATTGTGCACACATGTAAATGCTTACATCTGTACATAATCTGCAATGTTGAATCACACAAAGGGAGGGAAACGCCTCAGTAATTCAGCAACTCCTTCATAAGTGTTATTTAAGTCATTTAAGACTATGTATTTGAGAAATTACTTCTACCTTCTAGGAATATGTTTTCCGTCTATTGCTTATTTTATTGTGACTCGATCATTTTTGTGTTTTAATTTGTCTAATTCAGTGTAATAAAGACAAGAGACGAGACAAAAACGTGTTATGGTCTTCACTTAATGCACAACATCAGAAAACGTTACATAGCATTTTGGGTCATGTCACTAGATAAACTTAGATATAATGCAGTGACCAGTGGATTAGATTCAGTGTTGTGTTGCAAGGGCTTGTTACTTGTTTACCCAAATGACCTAAAAACTGTTAAACAGTAACACAAATTAGGGTAAAACTTGCTTCTTATGGTTGCCAGGGGATGAGAGCGGTTTGAAACCAGCATTTGTTCTGATTAAGTTGTTGGTGTGATATGGATGTTAAATGTGAGGTGTATAACCCGACTCCATTAAAATAATTTCCCCTGTTATCATCTGCGGAACTTTGTAAACCCCATATAATCAAAAGACACCCCGCAGTAGACTTGCTTGTTCTGTGATACTAATTCTTTTTTAAAGTTACTTAGAATAATGTATGAATATTTCGTTCAGACACATTGTGACTCTGATTCCCACTTATGTTCCTAAGAGAACATCTTTAAGGTAGTTTTGCTTTACCTGTTGTTTGTATCTCTATTTCACTCAACAACTGTTCCTTGTCTGCAAATTACCCATGTCCAGACTCCCCTGTAGAGCTTTTAGGTCGTTTCTCAACTCTCAACTCCCCCCCCCTGTCATCACTTCATCTACAGCATCACCTCTTTCCACACTGTCAGAACAGAAAACAAACGGCTCTTCCTCTGGTCAAAATGTTGAATTGTGATGCTTTTCAAATTGGAAGACTGAAGAGTAATTCCACTATTGGACAAATCAAGCGCACAGTTTACAAAAGATTACAGATTGAATGTAAAGTGCGGGCATGTGGCAAATCTGTAAAGGAGTTAAATGTAGACGGAACTATTGTATGTACAGTATATAGGAATTCACAGTATTAAAGCCTTCAAAAGTTTAGATGCCCATACACAGTACACTGAAGCACAAAAAAACTTCCTTTAATTCCAGCAGATGGCGTTCTACATCCATTGTAACAGATTGTTTTATGCCTGCATTGGCAATTTTATTCTGAATTAATGTTTATGCACTTACTGGTGTTACTATTTAACATTCCCTGATATAACTACATTTGCATGTGGTAGTATTTATTTAAACCATCTATACATTGTATTTCCTTTTTTGTTTAAATAGATTTGACAAAATTGTATTGCATGATTGTGATTCGGATTAAACCCCATATTGTTAGAGAACCCTTTATGTGAATAAAGTGCATACCCTGGTGCTTATACCTATATTTACATGAGGCACTTTCACTCTAAACCAGCTTTGTACATACAGTATAGAATAATTGTGCACAACTTTAAACTATTGTGACTCTTAACACTTTACATTCCCAATAATATGCATGTTTTCACTGTATATGAAAGTGCTACTACTCTTACACCATTAACCTGCAAGTCTGTTACCAAATCTACCAAGCCTTATCCTTTAGTAATGTGAATATGCTCTGTAACAGGTACATTGTTTTAATTATTTTCACGTAAGTCTTCCAAAGGTCAGTGCAGAGGGTCATTTCATGCTGTGGCGTCAGCAGTGAGGTGACCTCTGCTTTAGATGGTCAAGCCTTGGCAGGGGATGGGACCATGAGAGTGGCTACAGAAAAAGGGGGAGGGGGGAGGTTAAAGTGTGCAAGGTCTGGCCAATGTGACTGAGGAATGTTGTGTTTAACAAAGGCTGTTTTCACAGACTGTAAAATCAAAAGTCCCAGACAGTCTGTGTGGACGTGCACCCACTGGTCACAGGGGAGGTGGTGCCAGTGCTGCCTGGTAGAAAATGTAATATAGCTCACTGAGTAGTAAAGTATTTTTGCAGCATAAAACCTCAATGAGGTGACCATAATTACAAAGGTCACGGGCCATAAATGCTCATAAACTATTTAGTGCTACTGAGGGGGATTGAGCATTTCTGCAGCATTTCTGGATAAAAACGTATGCCAGTGGTGGGAAATAACCCTCACTTAAACTATTTCACCCAAATTGGTGATATCATTATCACATTTAATGTTTAGTGGAAGAAAATGAGATGTCCCCTCATTAATACACAATCCTCCTCTTGCTCTGATTGTACTGTTCCAATGCAAAGTTGCCCAGGAGGGGAGATTGATTGGTGAAAAGGGCAGCACTTTCACCTGGGGATTTATAGCTCTTTGAGGATATAAATAAACCACCGGAGGGTATAAAGGCAGGGGGTATAGTGTGGCAACATATCATGGGTCATGCCTTAATCACAGTGATGCTGAGCTGTAGCTCTGGGAGAGGGACAGGGCTAACATTTTTGCAGGAGATGGTGGTTCCCTGGAGAGTTGACAGCCCATGATGAGGACTCTAATACAGACTGTGAAGACGTCACAGCTCAGCATGAGGGAATCACATCGGACGAGCATTTGTGCTTATCTTCACTGAATAAATATAATGTGCGAGTCAAACTGCTGAGGTAGCATTTTATCAGTTTAGGCTGCAGTGCTTTATAATAATACCGTGCTACACACGGCGCTGGATTCCTGAATGTGTAAAAGCTGTAATTATCTAAAAGGAAAGAACAATGCAAGAGAGCGCTTCATATGTTTTAGGACAGAATACAGTGAGCACACTTTTGTCCTTCAGTAGCTCATCTCCTCTGGTTTATATTAACTTCTACATTCACTTCCTTGTTTTCCCTAAAGAATGTCTTTATAACATTAGTTACACATTGACCACCAAACACGTGATTCTCATCATCTTGTTGTGGGTGTATTCATTTGACATTAAGCTGACACATTTTTGTAGACTTTGCATGGTTAATGGTACAAATTGTTAGTATTTCTCTTTTGTGATACTTATTTTATTCAACGCTCATTTTTTTTCAAACAACGAATGTGCTGAATACACTTTGATAAAGATGACAGTCCTAAAATACTCAGAAATGTCTATAGTTGAAATAGTCCTGGTAGCAGAGGAAGCTGTGTTATACGTATTGACTGATTACATTTGCTATAGCCCTTACAGATGTGCAACGTGAAAACAACATGTTTAAATACAATACAAAACCTCCATATGAAAACTTTATTGATAAGTAGTCTCTGCCTCATGGTTAGAGACAAAACAGGTTCAGTGTCTGAGTGAGGAAAACAATTAAACCTTTACATGTTCAGTCACTGCTGTAAGGAAGATAATCTTACTCAAAAAGTAAAACAGTCATTTAGACAATCATTTCTTTGCAATTTACCTTGCATGTTTGAACAAGTGTGCTCTTGGAACAAGAGGATCGCCCACAGATACAAACTCAATTACACTTTTATTTCATTATTTTTAAGAGATCACTATTTGACAATGCCTAAATATTAAGCAGTCCACTTCTGTTATATCCAGGGTCAGTTTAACCCTCCACTGATCCCCAATCATGTTACCCCTTCTATCTATTACTTGTTTAGTAACTTGATTAAGCAGATTTATTTAGGAAAATGTAACATTATAAATGCCTTAAAACTAGGTTTTAACTCATGTTCCATCTACATAAAAGGCTTTCAACATTATTTAACAAAGCCAGTGTCAATTTAGGGCCCTTATTATGACAGTTTAAGTTGTTTTTTAGTGTTCAAAACAGTATTACTAAACAAATGTTTCTTTGATCAAATTACCTTAAACTAATTGCCATGTGGTGAACCTGGAGCTTTGGGCCCCCTGAGGTTTTGGGGCCCCAGGGCAGCTGCTACCTTGTGCAGCTGATCCATCCTGGGTAGTGGATGGATGGATAGATAGATGGATAGATTACTGTTACAGCAGCTTATATTAAAGTAGAAGGTACCACTTTACAATATGACTACCCTTATAAAGGATTCATAAAGGGCTTATAATTAGGTTATTAATTAGGTTGTAAACACTTTATTAATCCTTAAAAACCATTTATAAACCAGTTCTAACATAGTTTTCATACATCAACACAGGCTCACTATTTGGCAAGATGACTAAGCCTTATATTGGCTACCTAGCTTACTTCGTCTTCTTCATCAGCCAACATCCTTGGTATCTGTTGTTCACTGAGTTGATTCTCCCCCCACCCATCTTGATGTTTCTTGGCATCTCTTTATGACCATTCATTAACGAGTTACTAACATTTATTGTTGCCAAAAGGGAGCCTTATTGTAAAGTGTAAAACACATTCCCATTTATTAATGAGTTACTACCATTTCTAATAAGGCTTAGCAGTACAGATAAATGTGGGCTCACTATTTGGCAAGCAACCGGTCAAAGTTGCCCTGTTTATCTCATCTCTTATAAAAGCTTATATCCTACTTTTTTTCTCTCACAATATTGAATTAGATGATATTTTAATGCCTCTAATTTGACCCAGACCAACAAAACAAAAAACCTTTTTAATACCCACTTCTGTATTGAGAAATATTGCTTAATAGGCTACTATAACCAGTAACACCACAAAACCCATTCTGGTACCACTTTACACTAACTCATTACATCTCAGAGGTGTCCAGTGTTGAAAGGTTGAAACAGAACAATTCAAATCAACTGGGGATGTTTGGGACTGCGTGCGTGCGTGCGTGTGTGTGCGCGCGCGCGCGTTTCTGTTTGTTGTCCTTGCAGGAGTGGTACAGCCCACGCGGATCGGTCGCTATGGAGAGCAGCGAGGCAGTCACAGAGAGCAGGACGAGCAGGAGCGAGGAGGACGGACACAGAGTGCCGGAGTGCACACACACACATAGGCATCATGGAGAAACGATCCCCGCCAGCTAACGGACTGCGACTTTTAACAACTCTGCTCACCTTTTACGGACTTACCTGTGAGTTAACTGTTTCTTTGTCATTTTGAGAGGCCATTGTGAGGAAGTTGGCCATAGTTGCTCGGAGTCTCTACCGTTAGTCACTGATTCAAACCCGGCTAACGTTGGTCCTCGTTGTGCTGGGCTGTGTTCCGTTCAATGCCTGCTAGCTGTGTTCAGGCTAACGGTTCTGCTCTGTGATTCTGCTGTATGATTATCCTAACTGTATGTCGCTTAGGAAAGTAAGTTAGCGTATTGGCGTCAGTTCACAGTAAGCTAAACCTCGCTTGCACATTTCAATGTACGTTAACGTTATTAAACAACAGTGTACCCGCTAACCAGCAACTTATTACACGCAAGCTAACCCTCCGTTATACGTTCCCATTTCTCCCTACCCGGGACCAGAGATAGGGTTAAGCGCAGAGCTGATTCTCGTTGTAGTCACACGCACATTTTTTAGCTAAGAGGAGTTCTACTAAGTTCACACACACGACTTTACCTTACATTTAATCCATTCATTGAGGAGCAGTATTGATTAGTAGTTAGAAATATCGATTGCGTATCTGTGTGTGAGTGGCACTTCATGGTGAGCTAAGAGCAGCTCCTTTGTGAAAAGTTTGCCCACTGGTTGTTGGATAGGGATGGGGGATCACCGCTAATTGAGGAGAGGCCAGCGCAGGACCTCTCCGCTTTGGGTGTGAGAGTGGCAGCGGGGCGAAATGAAGACATATTTCGAGGGGAGGCTCTGCAGTGCACAGTCCTCTGGAAGTATTGACCTGCATTGGGCCTGCATGCCAGTCCGAGCACCTTCCAGTCTCCATTACTGTCCCAAGCTGTGCTTTGCTCTTATCCCAGTCCTGAGCTTGGATTACAATACATGGCAGGCGCTGCTAGGACAAACATTGTGATGGGATACTAAAAAGTAAATGCTCCAAGGAATGGCCAATCTTTTTTTTTTTCTGAATTCCAAGGGCAATAAAAAGACTTCCAATATGCCATGGGTAGCAGTATCTTAAAAGGACCTAAAACCTTTCTCGCATTTCTCATGCATGGCAGTCAACCCTGGCACCAGCTAGGGCTGCAACTGATGGATGGAATCTGCATTTTTTTTCATTTTACATAATCTCTTGGTGAATGAAAACATTAGGAACATTTCAAAAAAGATTTAGGAAACCAGCACATAAATGACCAATGGAAAAGCTTGAACCAAAAATTCCTTTGACCATTTTCATTTGAATTAGCACTCTGCTCAACTATTTTTATTAATATAGCCCAATAGTGCATTGCATTTGATTAATAAAAAAATGTGCAGATATTCATTTGTTTGTACATAAGGCAGGACAATCTACCAGACATCTTTTGATAAGCTAAAAGCCACCACACCAAAACCGCAAGTTACAAGTGTGTCTCACCAAGCTGCCATTGGTGCCAAATCAGTCACACCAAACTCACTATAAATATTTATTCGAGTATAATAGCTGTAAAATAAATCATTATTGTATTAAATATTGACAATACAACGACCGGGACCGTCGGCGGTAGCATTTGGCTTGGCATTTCCGGTTATTTCTCCACTGGTTAACATGGGTTAACAATACGTGTAACTGTCATGGACATCTTCACGTCTCCATGGTAAATCGTCACCATGTTCACGTTCTTGCCGTGGATACCGGGTTGCCCAGAAGAAAAGCACAGTGTGGTATACACACTCATATTCATAATAGCAATTCTTCTCTTAAAGCTGAGAGCAATTTAGTGGATATTTCAGATTAAATCATGTCATTATTTTTATTTTTTGGTATCCAAACAATTGACAATGATGATATTATTTTGCTTTATTAGAAAATATAACCATAGAAAATAAAATAGTGCTACAAACTCATCTTCACCCAATGTTATTGTGCTATTTTATTTTTGGGGAAATCAAGTAATGTGGAGAGTTGTCAACATTTACTGTTACAAAAAATAAGCCAATAAATTAAAGGATGTGAGATATAAGTGTGGATATTCTCTCTACTAACCACAACACAATCAATACGGCACCGCTACATTCAC